AGCAACTCCTGCATTTCAGTGGCTGCAAGAGTGCACACAAACCCTCAAAAGCCTCTTCAACACGTTCCAGGTCATTCTGCTCACTTACATTTGCCCAGAATCCATTCAGCTGCAAGTCCCAGTGATTTATTGCCTTAAACATCACTCTGGAGCAGTTTTTCTCCTACTAAAGTAGCCAGAAGGCTGAATGTATTAATATGCAAATACTAATAATGCAGTGCATTTGTATTACCTTTAGAAGAATCCATAAAATTAGGAGACAGCTTTATTAAATACACCAGAGCTAAAGATTAAGTATTTAATTATTCAAAACTTCTTGGGTTTTAAGTGAATTTAGCAGCACTTTGGTCGTAACATGACACAAATTTATTTTAGAGCCTACCAGAGCTTTTTGTTACTGAAGGTGGTAAAACTGTAGCTCATTACATAAAAAATAATAAGGTTAATACAGGACTTAGATCCAACTAAGAACACAGATAGGGACATTATGTGTTCCTTTAAAATTCAAGGGCAAAAAGTCTGATTTATTGCAAATCTGCACTTTGTGGATGAATGATGTCACGGTCAGAGAAATGGAAGGACAAGTTCACTCCTCTCCCCCAATCAAAAGTACACCCAAAGGTACAGGAGCTGCTTGTCCTCCCTTCCTTTTCAAGTCCCCATTGTTTCCAGGGCTTTGTGACTTCTGGAGCCTGACATTGTGTAATGAAATTGTCATTTATCAGCTGGTTAGAAAAAATGAGAGGAAAGAAAGATACCACATTAGAAATGCCCCCTTCTCACAGGAAATCAGGGGGAATTTTGCACAACAGGAAAGCAGAAGACACTGAAGAAATGGAGGAGAAGAACCAAAAGAACCAATCTCAAACAGGAAAAATGCCCTCTCCCCTGTTACCAAAAACCTGTGGTTTTACCTTGAGGCAAAACCTCAAGTTCTCAAAAACAAAACCTTTTGTGAAAGGGATTCAGCACTTTCTAGGAATGCAGGTTATAAGATTTTGGATTAATTTGAAATAGTTGGGGCTGGACTAGATGACCTTTAAAGGTCTCTTCCAACTCAAACCACTCCATGATTTGATGGAACAAAGAAATCTCCAAGAAAAAGCTGGAAAACGTGGAAAAGCTCTGCTGTGCACTCCCAAATCCTACAAGTAGGTTCTTCACTCTTCTCCCACAAGAATACCTTTTTCTGATCACTAATTCCATACAATTAATTGCTACCAAAGCATTTAATGAAACTGGAAGTTAATAAAACAGAATTAGTGTAAGAGCATGAAAAATCATCACCACGCTTGTGCACAAGATGTAATTAATGAACTGATCACACTGCCCACATTACAGACAAAATTAAAACAAATGCTAAGAAACACATAAAGAAAGAGCTCTGATGTATGTGTTTATAGTCAGTTTGTTTGCTTACCAGATAATTCAGCTGTGTTATTTGAATTAAAAGTGCAGAAGCCCAAGGCCTGCAATGCTGCATTACTGAGCTCCAAGTTTGGACTGGAAATGTGTGCCTGGAAAAAAAAACACAACCCAAATGCACAGAATCTCAGGTTAGAAAAGTAACTGAGAAATATGGAGTTTACTGTCTGAATGCCAGCACTGGTGGGAAGCTGGAAAAAGCAAACATCTGGTGAAAAATCCACCCAGGCTGGAAACCCTCCCTGGATTCTGCACACACCAAATCAATGAAACAATTTGAGGTGCTGAAGGCATTTTTGCTCTCTGTAATAAAAACATCTTTAATGAAATAAATCCCAAATATGCCAAGTTTTTCACTTTGGCTGTGTATGTTGTTCTCTCACTTGAGTCTCCAATTGTTTTTAGGCTTCTAAAACAGAAGGAAAAAATGGCTAAGAACGACCTTTACATTACTCCTTAAAAATCCTTGACATTTTCTGCATATTCTGAAATGTTTCTAAGGCAGCCACAACACACTGTCTCTCCTGGCTGGAAGATAGATTAGACTGTGGGATGCTGCTTAAACACATCCAAGACTCAGCATTTTGGTTTTTTCTGCAGTAATTCCTCATCACAAGAAAGACTTATTTTGCCAAAAAAAAAACCCAAACAACCTTTCCTGTTCTGCCACTACCCTGCATTCCCATTAAAGGCTGGATTCCATGACTCAGAGGTTTTTTCCCAGCCTCAATGATTCTGTGACTCTATAAATGAACTGACATTTGAGTCTTTCAATGCTCACTGACCTTCCCCACCAAAATATATCTTTGTTCACATAAGTGTAAGAGAGCTGAATGGAAGAACCATACCTTGAACACCTTGCAGAGCTGAGGGAAGTGTTTCCTGAAATCTGCAGTGAACGCTTTGCCTCCTTCACCACTCAAGCGACTGCCAGGAGCAGGAGGGGAAACAAACAATATTTACAACATTTAATTACCTTGTAACTGACTTAACTTTCAAGTTCTGACACACAGCAGCTTATTTTCCTGAAGGAAATCAAGGAGCTTTAGCTCCTTCAGTGTTTTCCTGAAGAAAACACTGAAGGAGCTAAAGAGCAAAAATGCCAGCACAAGGTCTGACCCAGCAGCAAAATCCAGTGTTACAGCTCAGAGTGAGTAATGAATCATTTTCTGCCTAAAGAACACCCATGAAAACATTAAGGGCTTCCATTTTTTTTGGTCAGCTCCTATAAAAACATTAAAATTTAGCAGGCAAGCTTTAAATGACTTGCTGCAAATTAGAAAATACATAAGCTTCCATTTTTTTGGTCAGCTCCTATAAAAACATTAAAATTTAGCAGGCAAGCTTTAAATGACTTGCTGCAAATTAGAAAAGACATAGAGGAGCTGAAAAAGAAGCACCTTCCTGAGAGCAGCTCCAGAATGCAGGAAAATCCTGGTCTGACAGGCAGCCAGGATGACTCTGCACATATGTAAGGAACATCCTTGCAGGAAAGCTGGGATTATCCCACAAAACGTTAATCATCAGCTTCCCACTGCAAAACCCAAACCGTGCTGAGTTCAGTCATCCAGGGACAACCTGAGAAACCTGAATGTTGCTGCTTAATACTTACACCAGGAGGGTTTTTTTTTGCTGACACTTATTTCTAGAAACCTGTAAAATCTGCTATGCGAGCAGCTGCAGTTTTAAATTCACTGCAGAAGCGAAGGGAGACACTGAAAGTGCCTTTGCACGTGGTAAAATCGGAGAGATGCAGATAAAGGCACAACCTCACGGGCAAGAAGAAACGCAATGCAAACAAGGCAAAAACCCGAGAAACGCCTGTAAAATTGCCTTTGCACGTGGTAAAATCGGAGAGATGCAGATAAAGGCACAACCTCACGGGCAAGAAGCGCCTTCCAGGAAGAAACGCAATGAAAACAAGGCAAAAACGCCACTAAAAACTTCACCCTTCCAACCGCAAAGCTTTGTCATTACAATAAAGTTATTATTTCCCAACGTTCTTCACCCGCCCCTCCGATCCCCCCGGCATCCGGGGGCGGGAGGCTCCGCGACGCGCAGACCCGGCGAGGATGCGCTCCTTCCTCCCTCCTCTTCCTCCCCTCACTCCTCCCTCCCTTCCCTGCTCCCTCCTCCTCCTCTCCCTGCCCCCAGCCCCGCATGTCTCCCCGCGGCCACGCCAGGCCGGCAGGTCCCGCTCCGATCGCGCTCCCGGCTCTCCCGCTCCCCACGGCCGGCCCCCGAGCTCCCCTCACGCCGCCCGCTCCCCGCCGGCAGCGTGCGCGTCCCCCGCGCTCACCTGACGATGGTGAGGTGCGCGTCCGTCAGCTCTCCCGGCGGCGCGGCGGGGTCCTCCAGGGTGTGGAGCAGCGGGCCGAGGCTGGAGCCGGCGGCGGGTTTGGGCTCGGGCTCGGGGCCGGGAGCGCTCATGGCGATGGCGACGCCGCCGCCTCCCCCCAGCGCGGCCGCCCCGCGCGCCTCCCGCAGGAAGGGTGAATTTGGTTCACATCTTCAGTGCATGGCTCAGAAGGTCACAAAACCCTCAGTTACACAACTTTTTAAAGATTTATTGACCAATAAAGTACTGCCAACAAGGATATTTATGTTTTTGACCCAATCATTAAATATCTTATGGACTCGTGTAAGCTTTCTCAGCCAGTCATGTTATGACACACAGACCTACAGCACTGCCTTCTAAACTCCTTGTTACCTTTGTAAATACTTTTATTTTTTCTATAACTTAAACTCTAAAACTCTAAACTTTCCTCTTCCTAACTTAACATGTCTCTGCTTTAAACTATAAATCCACATTCTCACTTCTAGCACCTGAGTTTGGGAGCCTTTTCCAAGGTCTCAGACCAAATCCTGGGTTTAATTCTGAACTTTGGCTTCCAGGCCCAAAGTTCTGAGAGTTCCCTACATTTCGGATTCCAACACAAAACCATTCCTGGTGAATTCAGGTGATGAGGACTACAAATGCTCCAAACAAAATGGAATTCACAGGAAAATTCTTAGTGGGCGTTAGATTTCAGCAGAGCTGGAGTCAAGAAAACACTCAGAAACAAAACTTATTTACCCTTTAAATCAATAAAATTAATTAGGTTTGCAAGAAACAAAAATAACTCATTGCAGGCTTGGTGGGATTAGACCAGAGGTAGCTTTAATGCTGCTTCAGGTAAAAACATTTGGAGTAGGATTTAAAATCAGCCATTTCAGCTAGAACAGTCTGAAAAGTTTTCAGTTCAGCCATTTAAACCAGAACAGTCTGAAAGGATTTAAATTCAGCCATTTCAGCTAGAACAGTCCGAAAGGATTTAAATTCAGCCATTTCAGCTAGAACAGTCCGAAAGGATTTAAATTCAGCCATTTCAGCTAGAACAGTCCGAAAGGATTTAAATTCAGCCATTTCAGCTAGAACAGTCCGAAAGGATTTAAATTCAGCCATTTCAGCTAGAACAGTCCGAAAGGATTTAAATTCAGCCATTTCAGCTAGAACAGTCCGAAAGGATTTAAATTCAGCCATTTCAGCTAGAACAGTCCGAAAGGATTTAAATTCAGCCATTTCAGCTAGAACAGTCCGAAAGGATTTAAATTCAGCCATTTCAGCTAGAACAGTCTGAAAGGATTTAAATTCAGCAATTTCAACTGGAACAGTCTGAAGGGATTTAAATTCAGCCATTTAAACCAGAACAGTCTGAAGGGATTTAAATTCAGCAATTTCAACTAGAACAGTCTGAAAGGATTTAAATTCAGCAATTTCAGCTAGGACAGTCTTAAACCCGTGTAAACAAGGTCCAGCACCTCGGTGTTGTTTTCTGAACGTGCTCGGTGAGAAGTTCCTCCTGCTGCTTCCTCTCACCACTTTTATTCTCTTCACCAAGTCCTTCCTTTAATTCTTGTGAAAGGACTTCATTCTGTGGATGAGGAAACCCTGACAGAATCCATGGATCTGACAAGAAAATGGAAGTCTGGATCCAGCTGATCCTGTGCTGCTTCCCAGTCTTCGCCTGCTGGCTGCCAGGCCATCCACAAGATGAATTTTTGTGTCTTAAAAATCACCTTACAATGAAGGCCCTTCCAGTTCAAGAAAACCAGTTAATTAAAAAAAAATAATAATGTGTAGAGAACAGGGGGAAAAAGCAACAGTCTAAAAAAATAAATATGTGAAAATCAAGGGAAATAAAGAGCGAAGAACCTGTTAGGTTTAAAAATAATCAGGACAGACACACAAAAAGTTTGTTCAAGTGGTGCAAGAAATGAGGAGAAAGAGCAGTTGATATTAAAAAAAAACATTTAAAATCTTTGGTAGCAATGAATTGTTCCAATTCTTACAGTACTTGTAAAAATAATTCTCTATTATCCATGTAAGTATATTTTATAATTTATTCCCTAATGCGGTGTGTTACCGAAACACAGAAAAGCCAAAGAGAAAACCTCAGAAAGGGATGAAAAAAACGCCTGAAAAATTCAGAATGGCGTTGACCTAAAGGCCCTTTTTGGCTGGCTGTTCTGCTCACATGATGCCAAATTTCCCAGCCAGGAAGCCGCTCTTGCCCTGGGCCGTGGCGTTCTTGGCTGGGGCAGGCGTGTCCAGGCTGGAGTAGCGGATCTGGAACCCGCCCGCAGTCACCGAGGCGTCCGTCAGGAACTTCAGCGTCATCACGTTCCCTGCGCCGGGAAAAAGCAACATTGTGGGGTTGGGGGCAAAAAAAATGGGGGGGTTCAGGTGGATTTGGTGGGGGGTAATTTTTTCATGTCTATTTTAGGGGATTTTTGATTTTTTTTTCATATTTATTTTGGGTTTTAAGTTTTTTTTCCAGATATATTTTTGGGGGTTTACCTTTTTTTCAGATATAATTTTGGGGGTTTACTTTTTTTTCAGATATGTTTTTTGGGTTTTAACTTTTTCAGATGTATTTTTTGGTTTTTAAGGTTTTTTTTCAGATATATTTTTTGGGTTTTTAAGTATTTTTTGGGTTTTAACTTTTTCAGATGTTTTTCTTTTTTTTTTTTTGAGTTTTAAGGTTTTTTTCAGCTATATATTTTTTTGGTTTTTAAGGTTTTTTTTTTAGGGAAGACTTCCCTGATTTCCATTTATTTCAAAGTCGTCAATTGGCTTTTTCATTTTCCACAAAGAGTGCAAATTAATTACCTGTGCTAATGATGTCATCTGGCAACTCATCCCCACAAAACCTGGAAAAAAAGGAATATATGCCTTTATATATTATGTATTATATATTATATGTTATATGTCATATGTATTCTATATTGCATATTATCTATTATATATTATAAATTATATATTATGTATTATATATTCTATATTATGAATTATGTATTGTATATTTTACATTTACCACATAAATGTTAAAATTTATAATTTTTAAACAGCGTTCCTCTGAAGGGGGGGGGGGACAAATGAACCATAAATTTGCACCTCAAATTTGCATTACCTGCCCACAAAGCCGTTGACGTCGTCGTAGCTGTCGTAGACCTCCAGGAAGTCAGCCAGGCAGGCAGTGTCATCCTCCACGTCAAACTCCAGGAACTGCAGGTGGATCCTCTGCCCGTACCTGACCCGGATGTGCCAGTAGCAAACCTGCTCGTTCTCGTACTCGTTTGGGTAGCCTGGCGACTTGAAAACGTGTTTGGAATCCGTGAAGACTCCGCCACACTCTTTTCCTAAGGGGGAGGTAAAAGCAGGGAGAGTTGGAGTTTTAATTCTGGCCGTGGTGTGAATCTTCGGGCACTTGGAGCTGGAGTTCTGTAGGGAATCACACAGGGACATCCAGAGTGACAAAGCTTCTTGTGGACGGGCTTAGCAGCTGCTCTGCAGGCCAAACAACTGAGTTAGCAGAAGAAGAAATTGATAAAATATTAATTGATCCACAGCACGGGAGAAAGCAAGGCCGTTAGCATGGAAACTGATGAAATAGACACATAAAGGATATTTGCAGCCTTAGTGAGAAGCATTCGTGCCTTCAAAGTTTGTTGTAAACTCCTGTCAATTAATTATTGACATTAATTGCTTTGTACCAACACAATACAGTCCAGTTTGGTTGTGAATGAATAAGCTATTGCTTTGTCCAGTGAATATAATGAGCTATTTTGAGGTAGGGGATTTACATTTTCCATTTCAGGGGGGGCTCCTGCCTTAGCTTACCTGTCTTTTCAAACCTAGGCACCCAGATTTTGGAAGGAGATATTTTGGAAGCAGGAGACGTGATCCAAACCTCACTGAATTCGCAGGAAAAGCTTTCATTGCCTTCAGTGTGTTTGGGGCCAGGGCTGTGTTTTATGTGAAAGGCATTTGGGATTTCTGGCTCTCTCAAGCTTTACAGCTGTACTTGCAAGTCACACTGACACTCAGATTCATCCTTTCTTCTTCAAAAACCCCTTGCAAACGTGTCTCAAACAAAAACCAGCTCGTGATCACAGACCTGCTGTTGTACCCCTGCTGTTCCTGCTGCTCCACATTCCCTTTGGGATAAAACCACTCCTGCTTTGATCCAGTGGCATTTGGACTTTGCCAGCTCCCTGCCAGTGGGGCTGACCAAACTGGGAATTCCTGCCTGAATTTAGGAGTTATCCCAGTTTAGAGCTGGGGAGAGGGAGGTGCTGTGTCAGGGTATGCAGGGCACAGGAATTAGGAGCATTAAGATGGATTAACCCCATTAACCCCCAGAGTTTGTACATTGTCCACGAGCCCAGAACTTCCCAGAGTTTGTACATTGTCCACGAGCCCAGAACTTCCCAGAGTTTGTACACTGTCCATGAGCCCAGAACTTCCCAGAGTTTGTACATTGTCCACGAGCCCAGAACTTCCCAGAGTTTGTACATTGTCCACGAGCCCAGAACTTCCCAGCTTAGCACTGCAGCACCTGGAGAGCTCAGGGGCTGCAACACAAGAAAGACCTGGAGCTGCTGCAGAGAGTCCAGAGGAGGTCAGGGAGATGCTCCCAGGGCTGGAGCCCCTCTGGAGCCAGGCTGGGAGAGCTGGGAATGTTCCCCTGGAGAAGGGAAGGCTCCAGGCAGAGCTCAGAGCCCCTGGCAGGGCCTGGAGGGGCTCCAGGAGAGCTGGAGAGGGACTGGGGACAAGGCATGGAGGGACAGGAGCCAGGGAATGGCTCCCACTGCCAGAGGGCAGGGATGGATGGGAGATTGGGAATTGGGAATTCCTGGCTGGGCTGGAATGCCCAGAGCAGCTGGGGCTGCCCCTGGATCCTTGGAAGTGTCCCAAGGCCAGGCTGGACAGGGCTGGGTGCAGCCTGGGACAGTGGGATATGTCACTGCCATGGCAGGGGTGGCACTGGATGGGCTTTAAGGTCCCTTCCAACCCAACCCTTTCCATCATTCCATCATTCCATCATCACTGCTAGGTGGGATGAACACTTCAATCACCCCACACAGTTCCACAAGTGCCTCTTGGCCTCTTTGGCCTCCTGGAGCAGAGCACAGGCTCAGTTCTGTCAGGGATTTGTCCCTGTCCCCCCCAGCTGCTCGTGTCCCGCCTGCAGAGAGCCCAGCCAGGCTGCAGAGCCCCTGGACACCAATCCCTGCAGGCTGCAGGCTCGTGGCTCTGCACTTTTGGCAGCTCTGGTTTCCTTTTGAGCTCTGACCAAACCGCACAGCAGCTCCCCGTGGCCCAGAGCAGACAAAGGAACAGTCCCACGCCGAAATTCCGAGGGCAGGAGTCTCTCTGCAGCTCTGTGTGGAACATCTGGGAGGGTCCCCACCCCACGGAGCTATTTGATGAACAAAAACAAGCCCCAGCCCTGGGAGCACAAACAAAATGTGCACAGCTGTGCAGACGTCATGGCCCAGCCTGAGCCCGGCTCTGCCAGGCCGGGGAGCAGCAGCAGGGCCAGGCTGAGCTTTGCTGCCCTTCCTGGTGCCACATCTGCCCTGTCCCTGCTGGCTGGAGGGACACCGAGGCACCAGTGGCCGCGTGGGTGTTGCAGTCACCTGCAGAGCAGCGTGCAGGGCATGGGGGATGTCTCTGCTGGGCTTCTTGTCAGTCTTGCTGGAACTCTGATCTGCTCTGGAGATCCACCTCTCCTCCTCTGATTGCACACAGAGCACTGCTGGTGGGAGTTTCACTCAGAGAATCGTAGAATTACAGGATGGTTTGGATGGAAAGGGAGGTTAAAACTCATCCCACCCACCCCTGCCATGGCAGAGACATCTCCCACTGTCCCAGGCTGCTCCAAGCCCTGTCCAGCCTGGCCTTGGGCACTGCCAGGGATCCAGGGGCACCCTGTGCCACGGCCTCCCCACTCTCCCAGGAAACAATTCCTCCCTAGGAATTCCTCCCAGTTCCTCCCTAGGACAATCCTCCTAAGAATGCCAGTCCCAGGCAAGGCATTCATTTTCAAAAAAGACCAAAAAAATAAGGTTGAACCCTAAATTTAGCCTGTTGCAGGCAGAATACCTCAGATTATGGGCAGAAAGCCCTCAGATTATTCAGAAAAAAGGTGGGCTAAATGCAGAAGAGGACAAGAGGACAGAAGAGGACAAAAGGACAGCCCTGGGGTTGCTCCTCACCGTTGGGGTTGTAGCAGTAGGCGTCCCACCTCTCGCTCCTGTTGAGGCGAATTCCATAATCAACAATCCCGGTCTTGCCAAAGCCACAGTTGGCTCCAGCTTTTACTATGGGGTAGCCAACTCTGCCCTTGGCCATCCAGCCAGCAGCACACACGTGGAAACCTGCAGCAGAGGGCAAATGAGTCAGAAAATGATCCGTGCTGGGCTGCTCTTATTGCACAAAGTCTTTCTCAATCACCTGGGTGTAATTGGCCTGAGAGAAATTGAGCTACACGGGAGAGCAGGACGTTGAGAGGATAATTTTAAATACAGAGGGTAAAATTGAATTGTGCTCTCCATAATGTGATTACTGGTTCTTCATCTGAAGCCCCAAATCAAATGCAGATGGACTGCACAGTCAGGTTTAAGTGCTCTACCAGCACTTGTAATCAAATTATCCATTGGTCGAGTTTTCCAAGGGTGTTCTCTGTTTCCCTTTTGAAGTCAGACAAATTTACTCAATCCCATCTCAAGGGTTCTCAGCATTAAGTTCTAAAAATAAATAAAATACTACAGACAGCTAAAATCCCCAAGCATTTGCTTAAAACACTTTCAATTTAAATACCTGAAATGCCTCAAGGATTTCTTGCCAAACCAAAAGATCCCCTTAATGCATTTTGTGGCTGAGAACTTAACACCAATAGCCAAAGAATGCAATGTTGTAGAGACCCATCCAATGTTTTCATGGAGAGGAACTGGAACATATTTGTGGCATCTTAGGGCTCTGAGCTCCTCAGAAGAAACAAAAGTGCCCTTTTCACATGTGCTGGTGCTGGGAGCCAGCTTCTGACTCAACAGCAGAGTGAAAAAATGTCTGGAGTGGAGGATATTTTCCATTGTTTTCCCAGTCTCTGAATGAATGAAGAACTTCTTAGGAATCAGCGGGAAATGCAGGGGAGCCTTCACTCAGCTCCACTTTTCACTCCAAGCACAGAACTCATTCCCTTGCAGACAAAATATCTTGATGGAAATAAAAGTGATTGGAGAGAGTCCAGAGGAGGTCAGGGAGATGCTCCCAGGGCTGGAGCCCCTCTGGAGCCAGGCTGGGAGAGCTGGGAATGTTCCCCTGGAGAAGGGAAGGCTCCAGGCAGAGCTCAGAGCCCCTGGCAGGGCCTGAAGGGGCTCCAGGAGAGCTGCAGAGGGACTGGGAACAAGGGATGGAGGGACAGGAGCCAGGGAATGGCTCCCACTGCCAGAGGGCAGGGATGGGTGGGACATTGGGAACTGGGAATTCCTGGCTGGCAGGGTGGGGAGGGGCTGGCAGAGAGAAGCTCTGGAGCGAGTCCTGAGGAGGCCACGGAGATGCTCCAAGAACTGGAGATTCTCTCTGGAGACAAAATGCAACAAAACAATTGTTCCAAAGGTCTCCTTTTCTTACCCCTCCCCCCCGCCTTCTCTCCACGGTGTCTCCCAAATCCTGATGCTGGACCAGAGCAGCACATGGAATTGTGGATGATGTCTGGAGAAGGGAAGGCTCCAGGCAGAGCTCAGAGCCCCTGGCAGGGCCTGAAGGGGCTCCAGGAGAGCTGGAGAGGGACTGGGGACAAGGCATGGAGGGACAGGAGCCAGGGAATGGCTCCCACTGCCAGAGGGCAGGGATGGATGGGAGATTGGGAACTGGGAATTCCTGGCTGGCAGGGTGGGGACCCCCAGGCACTCATCCTGCTCCTTACCAAAAAACCCGCGGAGTTTCCCAAGAACCCCAGAGCCCGGAACAGAAACGACAACCCCCAGCCAGCCCCCCATGAGGAGCCCTGGTTTTTCCAGACCTATTTTCCGAGCTGCCTCCAGCTGCTGCAGCGTGGCCAGGTGTCCTCCCTCGTACTCGCACACGGCCCGCGCCTCGGCGAAGGTCAGCCGGTACTTGCCGGAGCGCGCCTCGCGGTGGTACACCCCGGCTGCCCGCTCTGCTCGGGGACAGGGGACACAGGTCAGCCCTCAGCTGCTCCAGCAGCCCCCACAGCGCTGCAGGGACGGCTGCTCCTCGGCAGAACTGCTCGGAGGCCGGCAGCGCCGCGCAGGGATGCAGCGCCATGCAGGGATGCAGAGCTGCACAGGGATGGAGCGCCATGCAGGGATGCAGAGCCGCACAGGGATGCAGAGCTGCACAGGGATGGAGCGCCATGCAGGGATGCAGAGCCGCACAGGGATGCAGAGCTGCACAGGGATGGAGCGCCATGCAGGGATGCAGAGCCGCACAGGGATGCAGAGCTGCACAGGGATGGAGCGCCATGCAGGGATGCAGAGCCGCACAGGGATGCAGAGCTGCACAGGGATGGAGCGCCATGCAGGGATGCAGAGCCGCACAGGGATGCAGAGCTGCACAGGGATGGAGCGCCATGCAGGGATGCAGAGCCGCACAGGGATGCAGTGTGGCGCAGGGATGCAGCACCAGGCAGGGATGCAGCGCCATGCAGGGATGCAGAGCCGCACAGGGATGCAGAGCTGCACAGGGATGCAGTGCCATGCAGGGATGCAGCGCCGTGCAGGGGTACTTGCCGGAGCGCGCCTCGCGGTGGTACACCCCGGCTGCCCGCTCTGCTCGGGGACAGGGGACACAGGTCAGCCCTCAGCTGCTCCAGCAGCCCCCACAGCGCTGCAGGGACGGCTGCTCCTCGGCAGAACTGCTCGGAGGCCGGCAGCGCCGCGCAGGGATGCAGCGACATGCAGGGATGCAGCACGGCTCAGGGATGCAGCACCGCACAGGGATGCAGTGCCACGCAGGGATGCAGCACCGTGCAGGGATGCAGCGCCATGCAGGGATGCAGCGCCGCGCAGGGATGCAGCGCGGCGCAGGGATGCAGAGCTGCACAGGGATGGAGCGCCATGCAGGGATGCAGCGCCGCGCAGGGATGCAGCGCGGCGCAGGGATGCAGAGCTGCACAGGGATGGAGCGCCATGCAGGGATGCAGCGCCGCGCAGGGATGCAGCGCGGCGCAGGGATGCAGAGCTGCACAGGGATGGAGCGCCATGCAGGGATGCAGCGCCGCGCAGGGATGCAGCGCGGCGCAGGGATGCAGAGCTGCACAGGGATGGAGCGCCATGCAGGGATGCAGCGCCGCGCAGGGATGCAGCGCGGCGCAGGGATGCAGAGCTGCACAGGGATGGAGCGCCATGCAGGGATGCAGCGCCGCGCAGGGATGCAGCGCCATGCAGGGATGCAGTGTGGCACAGGCATGCAGCACCGCGCAGGGATGCAGCGCGGCGCAGGGATGCAGCACCATGGACGGCTGCTCCTCGGCAGAACTGCTCGGAGGCCGGCAGCGCCGCGCAGGGATGCAGCGACATGCAGGGATGCAGTGCGGCGCAGGGATGCAGAGCTGCACAGGGATGCAGCGCGGTGCAGGGATGCAGCGACATGCAGGGATGCAGCACCACGCAGGGATGCAGTGTGGCACAGGGATGCAGCGCCGTGCAGGGACGCAGCGCGGCTCTGGGATGCAGCGCGGCGCAGGGATGCAGCACCACACAGGGATGCAGCGCCATGCAGGGATGCAGCGCGGCGCAGGGATGCAGCGCGGTGCAGGGGCGCAGGGAGCGCAGGGATGCAGCGCGGCGCAGGGGATGCAGTGTGGCACAGGGATGCAGCGCCGCGCAGGGATGCAGCGCAGCGCAGGGATGCAGCGCGGCGCAGGGATGCAGCGCCGTGCAGGGATGCAGCGCGGCGCAGGGATGCAGCGCCATGCAGGGATGCAGCGCCGCGCAGGGATGCAGCGCCATGCAGGGATGCAGTGTGGCACAGGCATGCAGCACCGCGCAGGGATGCAGCGCGGCGCAGGGATGCAGCACCATGCAGGGATGCAGCGCAGCGCAGGGATGCAGCACCATGCAGGGATGCAGCGCTGCGCAGGGATGCAGCGCCATGCAGGGATGCAGCACCACGTAGGGATGCAGTGCGGTGCAGGGATGCAGCGCCATGCAGGGATGCAGTGCCACGCAGGGATGCAGCACCGTGCAGGGATGCAGTGCCGTGCAGGGATGCAGTGCCGTGCAGGGATGCAGTGCCACGCAGGGATGCAGCACCGTGCAGGGATGCAGTGCCGTGCAGGGATGCAGCGCCATGCAGGGATGCAGTGCCACGCAGGGATGCAGCGCCGTGCAGGGATGCAGTGCGGCTCAGGGATGCAGCGCCGGGCAGGGATGCAGCGCCAGGCAGGGATGCAGCGCTGCGCAGGGATGCAGAGCCGCGCAGGGATGCAGAGCCACGCAGGGATGCAGTGTGGTGCTCCTCGGCAGAACTGCTCGGAGGCCGGCAGCGCCGCGCAGGGATGCAGCGACATGCAGGGATGCAGTGCGGCGCAGGGATGCAGAGCTGCACAGGGATGCAGCTCCAGGCAGGGATGCAGCACCAGGCAGGGATGCAGCGCCATGCAGGGATGCCGCGCCGTGCAGGGATGCAGTACGGCACAGGGATGCAGTGCCAGGCAGGGATGCAGTGCCACGCAGGGATGCAGCACCACGCTTCACAGGGAAAAGCAGGGCGCGATTCTTAATTCTTCCCGAGAATATTTCTGAGATTCGCGTTCTCCGGGCCTCAGAGAAGGGAAGAACAATTCCTGTCGCTCACTGTGCCTGTGTTTGTGCACAAGCAGAATGCGATGTGGGGGTTGGTTACAGAGTGATGGGGGTTTGTTTGTTTCCTTGGCCTATCCGTGTGTGTGTCTGTCACGAGATTCTGTGCAGGGTGTGCAGGGTTGAGTGCTTGGCACATTCAGTTTTAGATGTATAGAATAATATAGTGTAATAAAGTAATTAATTAGCCTTGTGGTATCGATGGAGCCCCCCTCATCATTCCTCCATCATCAGGGCCTTCTCAGCACAGCTGTGCAGGGACTCTCCATTGCCAGGGCTGTCTCAAGTTCAGTAGTCACTGATACAATAATCTCTTTGAGTCAGCTCTTATGAGCTCTTGGAGAAATGTATCACACCTGAGATGGCTCAGCTACTTCAGATGGCATAAAATCAGTAGGGTGCTTTCTGTGGTAGTGTTGGAAACAGAAAGGTTTTAGTAAAAGGGAAAATAGCAAAGCTCTTTACAGGGAAAACCTGAGCTAGGGGCAAGAGGTTCTTGCTCCTGGTAAAACACCCCACAAAACCCATTAGTTCCTTCTGTTCTCTTCTTTTTCTAGTGTATTGCTTAGGTGAGACTTTTTGCCTTCTGTCTAATTAGCTATCCGCAAGTTTGAAGTGAAGTCCCTAAAATCTTATGGTGTGTCTTTCTACCTAATTGAGGAGAAAAACTTCTGGGCTTTTTTTTCCTTTTCAAAGAGACAAAAGATAATTTAGTAACTCCATCAACAGAGGGCACATTCTCACAGGTCACTGGTTATAGACATGGGTTTAGCTGGTGACCTTGGCAAAGTTCTGGCATCCAACAGCTTCTGCTGCTCCCTTTGCATGAAGAGCTACCACTCTCAGCCCATCTGGAAGCTGGTACCTCCTCCCTTTATTTGATCCTCACTACTTCCTAAACTGGAGGAGAGGATGTTGTTCCTTGTGAAGATGTAAAAAGTTTAATAAAGGATGATAGGAGGCAAGGATCATGGAGTGAAGGTTATCCCAGCCAGGGGCATCTTGGCACTCAGCTGTGGCAGCAGCTCTCTGGCCACAGAGACAAACACACAACATCCCAGGCATCGTCATGGGGAAGGCTGTGAGGATATCAGAGAAAAGAATGAGAAACAATTCTTGTCTTCACCTGCTGCCCCTGGCGTTGTGAGCGACTGGAATGTGTTATGGAGATTGTTTACCAAAGGGTGGTTTCTTAATTAGCCACTGGTGATGGTGTTTTAACTAAAGGACCAATGAACTAGGGTATAAAAGAGCAATGGGTTCCTTAATAAAGAATATAATCAGCATTCTCTAATATATGGAGTCTGTTATTACCCAGCCAGGGCCGTGAATAAATAGAATTGCTTTTTATTATCTTAATTTTGTCTGGCTTCTGGTTTTAGTAGCCCAAAAAGGCATTGTGTGTGCAACGCACAGGGGTGGACGTGTGTGACACCCACAGGGGTGGATGTGTGTGACCCAAAGTTAGGATTTGGGGTGGGAGAAGTTTAGGCCAGAGGCAGTCAGTGCTTGGAGAGTTTGTGAAGAACAGAAAATCAACAAGAGCTGGGGAGGCTCCCCCGGGATGCTCCAGGGGCAGGGGTTTGGGAACAGCTTGGAGTCAGCATCCCCAGCCCTGTGTGTCCTGTCTGACTCAGGGGAACCCTCCTGGATCCCTATCACAGCATCCTCCCGGCTGGAACTCCCAGAGCCTCTGGAAGATGAATCAGAGCTTTGTTTTCAATCTCCAGAGAAGTGAAATCACAGCTACTTGGATAGAGGAGAGGCAGAAATTAAAGGGGGGGGAAATGTCAAATAAAAATATCTGAGCGTGTGTCACAAAGGGCAGGACCAGAACAATTGCTGGCTGACATTTCTGCTGCACGGAAAATTAAAGCAATTTCTTCATTATTTTTTTTTACTTTGCCGTGGCAATTCTGAGATAAAACAGCTTTCCAAGGAAACCTAGAAACTGCCAGTGCTGCTCCCAGCTTTACAATCTTTGCATGTTGCACTTGTCTGGTGCCATATGTATGGAAATCTGTCTCGGCAGCAATCTGCATATCTCATCTGAAGGGTTTTTTTGTTTAGGTCTCACTTATATTTAGCAGAATCTGAGAGGAATGGCTGTTTGCAGCTCTGCCCAGCCAGCGTGGCTGAGGAAAGATGGAAGGCAGGCAGCATTTTCACAGCAGTTATCCACAGCATAAAAATAAAGGATGTATTTTTTAGAGACGCGCTCGGGGTCGGTGCTTTTGGCTGGGTTAGGGGAGGTTTTTAAAAAAGCCACTGAATTGTGGTTGGGAATGGTGAGAGCCCTTAAGAGACACAGGATGATGTTTGCCAGGGTGGGTTT